AAAGATATCACAAGACAATACATGATTTATTACCAAATTAATTGTAGAGACAATAGTGACCCTGACATTAAAGGGACATATCTCTTTACGTGGAGATGGTGAACAGTAGCATAGACTCGGTGAGATAAACACGTAGACAAGAAGAATGTGCTGGATTCTTCAAAAGAACAGAGTCAAGGGAGGTGCTAGATCCCTGTGGATCGCTACTCCTCATTGGATTTATTCAATAAAGAAGTTCAGGTAGTATATTACGGTACAGGCTAAGCCACTGTAACGAAAAAACCCCAAAGACAGTGAGTGGCTTATTTATGGTAAGAGTTTATCTCTCTCTCAAGTAGCAATGATCCATGTGTGATAGGGTGCTTGCCACATTCAGCAAGAGCTTCCACGTCTGGGTCAAAGATCAGTTCTGATCATAACTAAGAAACAGGAAGAAGGAAATGGGAGGAGGTGAAAATACTCCTAATTCTGAGTATATGAGCGAGACTGTAAAATGATGCACGTCACTTCCACTGGCAACCCATTGGACCCATTGGTCACATGGCCACATAAAGCTGCAAGAGAAGCGGGGAAATGCAGTCATTAGCTGGGTGGCCACGTGTCTAGCTAAAACTAAAAATAAGAAGGGGGAAATGGATATTGGGAGACAATTATCAGTCTTTGCAAGAGATAGACCAATGGGAGCCCAAAATTTTTAAGAGATTTTTAAGGAATAGAAACAGGAAGTCCGCTTTCTGTTTTAATTGGGTGGGAGGCAATGAACACGGCAGGGCCAGTTATGCCATAGCATGCATGGGTATGAGTCTAAATTACATGTCTTTTTCCACCCTGTATTTTCCTTAGGGAATTGAGGTGTACAGAATTGGATTACTTATAATCCTAGGTAATAAAAAACAGTCATCATTAATACATGTATGGCTCACTTTTGTTCTTTTATTTGCTAATTTATTTGTTTGTTTGAAACTATGATGAGTGCTTGTGAATCCCTCATTCAGCCCAAGAAATAGATTAATAATACCGCACATTTATCTGTATGCCTCCGCCCTATCCCTGACCCGTGTACTTCAGAAGTAAGCACTATCCCAAATTTCATATTTATTATTCCTTTACTTTTAAAATAAAGTTTTATTCACATATATATGTATGGCCAAACAATGTATTATTTAATTTTAGTTGTTTTTTTAATTTTATAAAAAGGTTTTCCTCATACTGTGTGCTCTCAATCTCAAAAAATATTTTAGCTGGGTATACAATCCTGGGTTGGGCAGTTATTTTCTTATAGCACAATTAAAGTATAATTCCATTGGATTTTGGTTCCCTTTAGAAGTGTAACCTCTGGTCTCTTGAATAAAAAGACCCCTGGCTGCTTTTGAGATTTTCTTTTACTATGTGGTGGTAAATGGTATCATATGTCTCTGTGTAGATTTCCTTTCATTTACGCTACTAGCAATCAATTAGGTTTCTTGAATTTGTGCATTGGTGTTTTTCTTCAGTTGTGCAAATCCTCAGCTAATTGCTCTTTAAACATGCTACCCCATCCTTTCTTGTCTCTCTTTCTCTATCAGAACATCTTATTATATCCTTCATGTCTGTTAACTTCTCATCTATATTTTCCATCTTTTTGTCTCCCTATGCTACATTCTGGATAATTTCTCCTGACTTATTTTTTCTTTTTCTTTTTTATTTTCTTTTTTTTTCTTTTCATTCTGTTGCCCAGGCTGGAGTGCAGTGGCATGATCACAGCTCAGTGCAGCCTCCAACTCCCAGGCTCAAGCGATCCTCCTGCCTCAGCCTCCTGAGCAGCTGGGACTACAGGCGAGCACCATCACACCTGGCTAATTTTTAAAATTTTTTTGTAGAGACGAGGTCTCACTATGTGCACAGGCTAGTCTTGAATTTCTGGCCTCAACCGATCCTCCCACCTAGGCCTCCTAGAGTGCTAGGATTACAGGCGTGAGCCACCACACCCAGCCTCTTGACTTATTTTCTGTCTTCTGGTTAACTAGTTATCCCTTCATCTGTGTGCAATCTGCTACCAATTATGTCCACTAAATTTTTTATTTCAGATATTGAGTTTTTCATCTCTAGAAATTCTATTTGGTCCTTTTTCAAATCTGCTAGGTCATTTTCTATGGCTTCCTGTTTCTACATATATTTTTAACTTTATCTTTGTTTAAATGTAGTAAACAAAGGAAATTCTGACACTTGCTACAACATAGATGACTCTTGAGAACATTATGTGAAGTGAAATAAGCCAGTCACAAAAGAACAAATACTATATGATTCCACTTATGAGATATCCAGAGTAGTCAAATTCATAGAGACGGAAAGTAGAATGATGGTTTCTAGCAGCTGGGGGAGAGGGAAATGGAAATGTGTTGTTTAATGGGTATAGAGTTTCAACTTTGCAAAATGAAAAAGTTTTAGAGATTGGTCGTACAACAAAGTGAACTGTACACTTAAAAGTGGTTAAGATGGGTTAAGATGGGCCGGGCACAGTGGGTCATACCTATAACCCTAGCACTTTGGGAGGCCAAGGCGAGAGGATCACTTGAGGCCAGGAATTCGAGACAAGTCTGAGCAAGAGCAAGACCCTGTCTCTACCAGAAATAGAAAAATTAGCTGGGCATTGTGGCTCACGCCTGTAGTCCCAGCTACTCGAGAGGCTGAGGCAGGAGGATTGCTTGAGCCTGGGAGTTTGAGGTTGCAATGAGCTATGAAGACGCCACTGCACTCTAGCCCAGGTGACAGAGTAAGAGAC